TTATTTAGGACAGTGTTTACCAGGTCTACAGGGTCTCACTACATAGATCACTCTAGTGAGTCTCCTGTTTTCACCTCCCAAGCGCTGGGATTACAGGCACATGCCACCAAGCCCAGTCTCAATCCAAGTCTCACACACCCTGGGGGAGGGGCGGGCACTGCACACCCAGAATTAAATCCCAGCCACTGCACTCTGCCTAAGTAGGTGCTTTAGTCCACTGAGCTATCTGGCTGGCCCCATGACTGATTCTTCAACAGGGGACTTGCAGCTAATTCTTTATATCCATGTTAAAAATGAAGACTTTCAAAAAAGATACTCTATTTTTAAAAAACTGTGTTCACAAAATATTTAATGTTGCTATGTTAATAATCCCTTGATACATTTTATAAAATCAAGTCTATAAAGTTTCTATAGTGAGTTTTTATCATCAATTTTTTTGCCTCTAAGGTGTAAAGAGTTAAAGACAGTGTAGAAAATATTATTCTAAAAATTATTTTTAATCTTTTATTTATTTATTTGGTATAGGGTTGCACTACACAGCTTGCACTCATAGTGATCCTCCTGTCTCAGCCTCCCTAGTGCTGGAATTACAAGTGTACACCACCACGTCCAGTTTCAGTGGTTGGCCTGATGTATCAGGGTTTCGGTGTCTGGCACAGCATGTGGTACTGGTGATTGAACCTGGGTCCTTATGCTTGCAAGGCAGGCACTTAGACTGTCAAGCTATCTCCCCAGTCTGAAAATCTTACTCTAATAAATAGCACTATTCTAACTTAGAATCAAATATTGTAGATTAGCTTTAAAGAGATAACAATATTAATTTTATTCTGACTATGAGTGAGTAAGCAGTCATTAAATTATAACATAGGAATTCTGGTATGATTTAAGATCTTACTGTTTTTTGTAACAAAGCACAGATTTCAGAAAGGACATACACTGTTCCCATCAATTATCTTTATTAAAGATTTTAAAAGTTCATATATATTCAATATTAATAGACTTGAAAGTACATAATTTTGTAACTGCCACTAAAACTGTATTTTATATATTTATAAATCTATGAGTTAACAAAAACTATTTCTATTTAAATGTTATATACTGCATGTTACAAATATGGGTGGTAACTAATGCTGTTAGGAATAATAGAATCGTTAAAATAAATGGTAAAATAATATACCTCATAGACAAGCTTTTACTAAGGAAACTTTAAGATACAAACATTAACTTACATGTTTATTAGGCGAGGTAGAAGATTCTAGTTCCTGTGAATAAACCATTTCTTCTGTAAGTATACTGTGATCTGGACTCCCTTGCTGTTCCTGCACTACAGACTCAGGTGTTACATTTATACCAGCAGGGCTGCCTAATTCTTCTGGAATCGAGCTTTCACTGTTCAGATGAGAGTAGGAAGGTAATGGAGATTCCTCCTCACTTACTACTTCTAGAAAAAAAGAGTGAGAAAAAGAAAAAAAATACAAAAAAGCAAAAAATTTTCAGTGGAGAAATTCAAAACTTACACTTCACATTTGTACTTAGCTTAAAATAACAAGTAGCATCTGGATATAACTTTTTTATTTTGTCACAACACATACTATAGTTTGTTAAAGAACTTTGGCTCACACCAATGAGGAAGGATAGCTATCACATACAACCAACAACGACAGTGATTGACAATGTTAACCATGAGAATGCAGAGCAAGTATGACTCTCATATGTTCCTTTGGCAATGAAAAGTGGTCCAACCATTTTGGAAAATAGTCTGGTAATATTTGAAAAAGTTCAGGGCAAGTGATATTCTATAGCCTAGCAAATCAGTTCGTAGGGATACATCCTATAGAAATCTTGCCTACGTAAAACAAACTTTCTGGTAGGAGAGGTAAAATAGTCAAAAACTGGAAGAAAACCAAATTATCTGGTGACAGTATGTTGACTACATTGTGGTGTATTTATACAGTGGTATATACACAGCATTACAAATGAAGGAGCCATTGATACAAGCATTGATGCAGGTATACTATGCATTCTATTGGCACTTTCAGGATTTGTACCATTGGCTTGCCACCAAAATTTCCAGACTACTGTGGATTCTGTTCTTTCAAGGAAAACAAAAATATGTTTGACACTAGACAGTAAAGTTTTGACTGACACTTGCAAAATCTTAAAAATACACATTGCTTTGTTTCTTTGCCTCTACAGTTATACTGCGCCCAAAGGATTAGGTTGTACCATACTCTGGGTAAGTGATACCATTGCTTAAACATTTTTAAGGTCTGCAATATTCTGCTGAACCTGAAAATACAGTTTGCTAAAAAATAAAAAAAAATGATATACACTTCAGAAAAATGAAAACAGCATGTTTTTTTTTGTTGTTGTTGTTTGTTTTTTAAAGATGGTGTTAAAAAAAAAAAAAAAAAAAGAGGCTGGGGAGATAGCTCAGTGGAATAAGCGCTTCCCTGGCAAGCGTAAGGGCCTGAGTTCAATCCCCGGTTCCACAAAATAAATAAATAAATAAATAAATAAATAATAAAAAAATAAATAAATAAAGATGGTGTTACTTTCACGGGGGACCCTAGAGGATGTCATATAGTACAGAAAACCCACTAACTGGCCTTAGAGAAGAAAATGAAAATACACATGTAGCAATCTCAATAACCAAGGTTACCCAAGCAGCAGTTCATCATACAAATAAATATATGGAAATAATGGCCATTTTGAGCACCTCTCATAATTATAGAGGTCAAAGGTAACTTATACTAACCTCATGATGTCTCAATAAATTTAGTATTAAAATATTTATACAAGTTTTTCTTTTCTGAAGTGTGTATACATTTTTTGGTAGACTCTATAAAATAAGTTTAGCAAAAATAGTAAGTATTTGTATCCCAAATGGTATTTCACTTTAAGAAACTGGATGACATGACATTTAAAAGCCACTTCCAGGGCCGGCGACATAGCTCAGCAGACTAAGCACCTGCTTAGGCAAGCTTAGGGAGCGGGATTCAATCCCACATGCCATGCTGGCCTGGATCCCAGGCATGCTGAGCCGGTCATCTAGACAAGGCATGATGGCACGTGCCTGTAATCTCAGCACTGGGGAGTCTGAAAACAGGAGATCATCACGAGTATGAGCTGCATGGTAAGAACCTGTACCAAATACATTATTTAAAAAAAAAAAAAAAAAAGTCACTTCCCTTTTGGGGCAGCACTAGGGATCAAATGCAGGGCCTTGAGAAGGTTTGGCAAGGACTGTGTTACTGAGCTACATCCTTAGCCCTAAAAATTAACTTCTAAACGTTATATATTATAGCATAATCAGAACAGTTGAACAAATGAATGAATGAATGAATTCTAAACATAAAGAATAACTCATTTATGCCACAGTAATATCTGGGTACAACTGAAAATGGTTTAGAAAATGTCTACATTTTAGGTAGACAGGAATGGACTCCTTTACATTTCTACTCTATAACTCTCAATACAGACATTTGATTTTTGTTGGACAACAGTAAAACATACAATGATTAAAAATTTAAACTAGGTGGGACTCAGGAGACCTGCATTCTGTGGGCCCAGTACACACAGTTGCAGAGATTGCCTGGTGTCATTGAAGAACTCTGGTGGCTTCTGGGCAGCCTGTGGGACTCTGGTAAGCCCTGACCTTCCTTAGTCCCCAGCCTGTAGGTGTGGAACTTCTGCTGGTGCTGGTCCAAACTTTTAAGAATTTAGGAGGACTCTAAGTGGCCTGCAGGACTCAGGAGAGCGGATTCAGGAGAGCTGCGATCTCTGGGCCCAGCACAAGCAGGTGCAGAGCTTTCCTGGAGCCATTTAAGAACTTTGGCAGACTCTGGGCAGCCTGTGGGGCTCTATCTGGGTGATTACTTGAAGCTTCGAGAATGTCAAAACCCAGGAGCAAAAAGGAAATCTCAATCCTCAAGCCCATCCAGAACAAATCCAGGAGAAAAAAGCATATAAAAGTACTTGGAAATCACACACCTGAAATGACAGCAACTGAAGAAAAGGAACAAGACCATCAGGCTACATAAGAAATAAGGGCAGAAATAATCTCTCAGGTCCAAAAAGAAAGGACAACAATAGTGAAAGAATTGCTCAGCACAGCTAAAGAAGACATAGAAAAATAGAGGGGAATAGAAAAATGATGGAAACACTGAATGAACAATATAAGAAAGAATTAGAATGCATGAAAAAGATTCAAACAGATATCCATTAGGAACTCCACTGAAAGCTGGCAAAACAGCTAGAATGAAACTGCAGATAGACTTTCAGACTTTGCAGATTGTGTTGCAGCTAATGAACATGAACTAAAAGATCTCTTAAAACTAACAAACTGCTTAGGCAGAGCGCAGTGGCTGTGGTTCAATCCCTGGCATGCTGTGCCGGCCGTACTCCTGGAGTGCACTGAAACAGACTGAGACTGGGCCTGGTGGCACGCACCTGTAATCCCAGCACTTGGGAGGCTGAAAACAGAAGAATCACTATGAGTCCAATCTACAGAGGGAGACCCTATACAAACTGGAGACCCTGCAGACCCTGTACCAAACACATTAAAAACAAAAACAAAAACAAAAACAAAAAAACCTAACAAGGGACCAGGAAATAACAATTCAGCAGCTACAAGACAATGCAAAGAAAAATAATATAAGAATAATAGGTGTCAAAATGAAGGAGTGGAAGACAACACAAATGACATAAAAAGAATATATGGGAAGTACTAGCAGAAAATTTTCACGGGGCCGGGGAGATGACTCAGTGGAATAAGCACTTGCCTGGCAAGCATAAGGGCCTGAGTTCAATCCCTGGTTCCACCAAAAAGAAAAGAAAAGAAAATTTTCAAAACATGAGAAAAAAACCTGACATCTATGAGTGAGGCATACTGAACTGCACACAGTCATAATCACAATAAATCTACACCTAGACACATAATAATCAAGATCTCAGAAATTTAGCAAAAGAATCGACTATTAAAAGCTGCTAAAGAAAAGAAACAGATCACTTACAGTAGAAAGCCCATCCAAATCAAATATTTAGCAACACAAACCATCAAATCAAGAAGAGTTTGGACCTCTTCCTCTTCCTGTGAGCGGCCTTAGGTGACCTGTGAAAATGGTTCGCTACCTTCTTGACCCAGAAAACCCCACAAAATCATGCAAATCAAGAGGCTCAAATTTTCGCATTCACTTTAAGAACATGTGTGAAACTGCCCAGGCCATCAAGGGTATGCATATCCGAAAGGCCACCAAGTATCCCAAGGATGTCACATTAAAGAAGCAACACGTATCATTCTGGTGTTACAATGGTGGAGTTGGTAGGTGTGCCCAGGCCAAACAGAGGGGCTGGACACAGGGTTGGTGGCCCAAAAAGAGTGCCGAATTTTGGCTGCACATGCTTAAAAATGCAGAGAGTAATGCTGAACTTAAGGGTTTAGATGTAGATTCTCTGGTTATTGAACATATCCAGGTGAACAAAGAACCCAAGAGATGCGCTGCCGTACTTATAGAGCTCATGGCCGGATTAATCCATGCATGAGCTCCCCCTGCCATATTGAGATGATCCTTACTGAAAAGAAACAAATTGCTCCCAAACGAAAAGGAAGTTGCACAGAAGAAAAAGATATCCCAGAAGAAACTGAAGAAACAAAAACTGATGGCACGGGAATAAAGCATAAAATAAATGCAAATAAAATTTAAAAAAAAAGAAGAGTTTGGAGTTATATATTTCACATCCTGAAAGAAAATAACTGCCAATCCAGATTGAGGTACCCTGCAAAGCTATCTCTCAAATTCTGTGGCAAAATAAGATCCTTCCATGACAAAGAACAACTGAAAAAATTCATGACCACCAAAGCAACACTCCAGAGTATTGGCAGGTATTCTACAAAGAGCCAAAAACAACCACAGCTTCAAGAACAACAGAAAGGATACACAAAATGAAGCAAGTAATTAATAAAAGGGAAAAAGTATGGAACTTATAGCAGGAAAATAACATAACAAAGACTAGCCAATATGTATGTTTTAACCATTAATGTAAATGCCCTCAATTCACCAATGAAAAAAAACAGACTAGCAGAGTGGATTAAGAAACAAAATCCAACAATATATTGCATACAAGACACATTTAACTCAAAAGGAAATTCATAGACTAAAAGTCAAATGATGGAAAACAATCCTCTATGCCACAGGAAATCAGAAAAAAGGAGGGGTAGCTATCCTGGTTGCTGACAATATTAACTTCAAACCAAAAATCATCTGAAGAAAAAGAAGATCACTACATACTAATTAACGGAAAACTGCAAGAGGAAGAGATAATAATTATAAATATATATGCACTCAATATAGGAGCACCCTCCTACATAAGACAAATTTTAACAGACATGAAAAATCAAATGGGCAATAACACAATAGTAATGGGGGACTTTAACATACC